AGCGCGGCGTCTTGAAGTGTCGACGTCAGAGATGGAAAAATTCGAGAGAAAAAGTTTTTCATCCTTGGCGAACGTTGCTCAAAATGTTTTCTCTTTAAATACGTTCTTTAAATGCGTTCTTTCAGTCCGTTATGACGTTGTGTGATAAATCTTTGAACGTTCTGCCTGACGATGATCCGAAAAAAATTTGAGAGCATTGTTCAGAATCATGTTATACATTGTTAAATTCATAATGTCAGATTACATCCAATTTGAGTTTTATTTTTAATCATTTCTATAAATTATTATCATTCCTACTCAACATGTTGTTAATTTATTTAAAATAATGGCATTGAATAATTTAACTTAAGAACAATACAACGATAAAAGAGGGCAAATAAGAGTCGATTCTTCCAAACGTTAAGTATAAAAAATTGTTAATGCGAAATTAAATACATACATACATAATAAAATACTGAGATATAATGCATTGTGTTTTATTATGTATGTATATATTGTGTCTGATATCTTTTATTCGTTGGATATTATTTAAGCTACATTATACGTGAAATAAAATTCGTGGTAAAGATGCTTAATTAAATAGAATCAAATATATAATAGAAAAAGGGCTAAGAGCAACAGCGGGTTATTGGTTGCTATCATTTATACAATAAGTTCCAATGACAAATTATTTCTAAAAAACGTTTAACGAAAAAGACGTGTCTCTTAATTTCAGTATAATTTAAATATGTGTCTTTATCGTTAAACATTTTCCAGAAATAATTTTAATTTGTCATTAGAATTTATTTATTTAACATTGAAAATGATCTAGTTAATGGTCGAAACGTCTATTGTTTTATGAAATTTTAAGAATTATTAAATGATAGCAACTCGCTTAATTCATAATAACCTGCTGTTGTTCTTAGCTCCTTTTCTATTATATAATATATTTAATTATATGTGAAAACTAACTGATTTCATCGGGATTCATTTTTCCATATAATTAGTGCGGAGTCCTTTTATACATTAAAATATAGTAGGTATATACTAGATCCATTCAATGAACCGCTCGAATACGCATAATTTATTGTTGATGTAGATTCATCATAGTGAAGGAGCTGATTAAAATCCGTAAAGAGTGTCAGAGTATACGTTAATATGGATGTTGTTTACTTGAAACTAACCACAGAAATGGATTCATTTACATTTCGATATGGAAATTAAAAATAATAAAATATTATATAACTCAAAGAATTATATTAAGCTTCTTTGATATCTGACAGTGTAACTTAATTCATACAATTCTATGCAGCATGCTATACCAATTGAATATCTTCCAATCGATTATATTAGTTAATTTAATGTCCGTTTCTACCAGTGTAGATCGACTTTAATCTCGGTTTAACTTATTCTGTTCATCTTTTTTTAATTCTTAGAAAGGATGAAAAGTAAGTTGAATCGAGATTAAAGTTAATCTACATTATTAAATTTATATAAGGTTAGATTATACCCATTTGAGTTATTTTTAATCATTTTTCTAGGTCGCCACTGCTTCTGTCCAACATTTCGTTAATTTGACTAAAACAATGAACTTGAACAGTTGAATTCGAAATATTTTTTACTTAAATTTTTTAATTTATTATTTATCAAGCATTATAGTATGGACGTTTACTTTGAAACTAATTACAGAAATGAATTGATTTACATTTTGACACAGATGAAAGTTATAAAAATGTTATTTAAAGATTAAAAATATTATTCAAGGGATTGCGTTAGAGCATAATTTTCACAATTTCGGCATTAGATTTTTTAAACAATTAATTATTAGAGGAAAGCCTTCTATTATGAGATAGGTGCCTAATATTAGATAGCGGCGTTTCTGCTAAACTAATAAACGTTATCTATAGATTCCACCATGAATTTATTGCTCTTGGATTGAAAATTATTTAGTGGAAATTACTTATTATTAGATCATGCCTGTAGTAGTCGTTGCAAAAAAAAGATTTTAGAATTTGGATGTCTTCAAGTTTCGTTGAGATGAACCTTTAAATCTCGTTTATTATTTAATAAATAAATAAATTCTTTATATAGTGATATAAAGTAAGATCGTATAGAAAAATTATTTAGTAATAGAAAAATACGGGATATGTTAAATTGCTTAATTAGAGATGTTAGATTTGATGATCGTAAAACTGATATAAGGCGTGGAAATCCTAATATAAAATACGTAATATGAGGGTATTTCTAATATGAAATAACCTATGCTCCTATGTCATAGTAAAAATCGTTGCTGAAGTATAAATGTTATTGTATAATAATAAAACAAACAATCGGAATGAACACGGAGTATCTATTTCTGCGATGCTTGGTTCCAACTACCTGAAGACGAGTCTTATAGGTACAATGCATCATTTACTCATTTTGCGCGCGCACTGGCTGTGTTTGTTATTTTAGAAACATTAAATAAAATTTTTTAATTGCAATATTGACGTACTTTACGTTTTATTATCGATTTCTCGAAGCATCTCATATTAAGAGTACAATTTTTTGACTTTGCGATTTGCTCACTTTTTACATTTCTTTAATTTATAAAAAAAAAATAAAATTTGAATTAAATTTCACATAACATTATATTAAAGCTTATTAAATTTCTTTCAAAATGACTTATTATTTTTTAAAATTCTGTCCATAGATTTTTAGCATTTATCCAAAATAAACTCGGTCTCTCATTATAGGAGCCTTTCCTCTATAATTAAAATATAATAGAGAGAATTTTTCCCTACATTTTTATACCAGTAATGGTTCTATACACTGTATAGTTTCTTTGCAATAAATGAAATGCTGCATTGTAGTTAACTTGCCTCGAAATGTGGGGTAAATTGATACATATCACAGTATAAATTGTTTCTATGATAAACTCTATATTAAACTATAAACTCTATAATAAAAACATAATAGAAAAGTAATAGAAATAAAAATTAGATAGTAGATATGTATTTTTTAGTAAGAATTATATCTTTTAATGTTATTTTGTAATAATCAAATAGCAAAATGTTGTCACAGAAAAATAAGTATAAATTATTTTAATGCTTCCTCATTTTAATATAGAAATATTAAATACAAAGTGTTTTGTCAGAGTTAAATTATAATTAAATGTTCACACGTGCGATACAGCGAATTAACTTAACCTTTTCTCACGATATGAGCCAACACACCCCCATTCCTGCACACGTCCGATTTTAATCATTTTATTATAACAAATTACCATCGTTACTCAAATAACGTATTGTATACTAACAAACACTTTTCTTTTAACTAATAATACATCGCTTAGATTTGTTTTCACAAATCGAGGGACATTAATACGAAATTATGAAATGCTAAAAAATTTACTTGTGATCCACTCTTGAATCAGACTTTTTTCTTTTTCTCTTGTAATACTTGTTTGATTTAAACGAAACTTATAGGGAGAAGTTAGTATCTATGTTGTAAAAGAAATATTTTGCGGTAACTTTTCCATTGTTTCCTTTATCATATTGTTAATACATAAACAGAACGCAATGCCTATTTGCTTCTTATGCCAACGAGCCCCGGTCAGTCCGGTCTTCACATTGTTCCTTTGATATATCTACATAACAGTAAATATTGTATTGATGGAAACAAGCATGATTGAGATAAACTAATGGCGTATTTTTTAGCTATTCTCGCTCGATCAATACATCGTTACTATTCGAATGTTACAGTATACTCGCCCTCATTATTGATAAACACACAGACACACAGAGTTGCACTTCAGGACATGTCGCTTTCTGCACGTTATCTGTCATTATTGAAGCGCGAGTGGATCTCATTTTAACGTTGAAATTATGCAGTCTCGTTCGTGGCTTGATAAAGAACGAGCATATGAACGTTGGCTCTACAACGGTAGTTTTCCCGATTCCATTAATAGTTCTCGACCGCGCTGTTCTACGTCGCGAACTCTTCGCGGAGCAGTCATTCCAGGCGGATGTACTATCGCGCTATAGAAAGCCACTACTGTCCACGTTTTATTAACGAAAATAATTGACATTCGATACGAAAATCACAGTAATCGAATATGGATATTGATCGCGAGCTCACGTCATTACATGAATTTTCATCGTGACGGTTGTAAGGAAAATTCATGACGCTGATTATATCTACTGTATATCTGAATGATTGAAAAGCCATTTCTGTCATTAAATTGCACTATTCAATTTCTACTCTATCTATTAATTTCCACTATTCAATTTTTAGTATTAATTTCTAATATCAATCAATTTCTCGTATGAATTTCTATCCGTAATTCAATATTTGACTTGTTTTAATCACAATGATATTATTTAAATTTACTTATTATTTATACTAAGAGAAAAGTGTTTGGTATTTATGGCTATAATTGATAGAATAACTATGGTTATAGAAAAGCTCCGTTTTTATTGAGCTGTTAATTATTAAAGGAGTAACAATAATCCAATTTCTTAAGTTAAATAACATTTTGTGTTATTTTAACTTTCATGTATGTCAAAATAAATCAATTTATTTCTATTATTTTTATTTTAAAATAAACAACATTCATATTAATGTATGCACTTAATAAGTAATAAATGAATTTTAATTAAAATTTAATACATTTTCTTAGAGTTTAATTGTTTAATTCCTTTGTTTTAATAAATTAATAACATATTGAGTAGAAGCAATCTATAGAAATGATTAAAAATGATTTAAATTAAGTTTAATTTGACATTATGAATTTAATAAGTTAGTAATAATAATTGTCTTTATAGAGTTC